AAAGGGAAAGTAACCCTTGCTTCGGTATAACAAAAATTCGTTATAACGCATTTCGTTATAACGGGGTCCGACTGTATAAGTGCATATGTAGCTGCAAAGGATCTAGATGACAATTATTTTGAATTTCACTAACTATTTTATTTGACAGATCGGGCCTTTCGTGATAAAGCGCGTGCTTTATCTGTACTTGAGCATGTGTATTTATCATATTGTCGTACAAGCGGTGTTCTTGTTATAATCGTAATATTAGGAATGTTGGTCGTTGATTGCTCGCACAACGGGTTAAGCTCTCAGCATTGTAACTCGACCAAGTTCAGCATACGCGAAAGCTAGAGATTACCAGACTGAATATCCATCATTGGGGAAGACATTAGAGATCATAGTGAACGCCAGTTGAATATTTCCAATCGTTATTCGATCCTATAGATATTATTCCACCGCAAGAGTTGTTCCATTAGACCAGATCCTATGCAGGAAAGGTGAACCTCTGTTGTTTATATTTTAAATTGCTATAGCGGAATAGCTATTCTAAAATCTAAATGGTTGATAGTGATTATCTGATGTTGTATGTCAGATCGGAATTTATGTCAATTCCGAAGTGATATATGTCAGATCAGAATTTTATATATCGCTTATTAAAAATTTGAGCGGAAAAATTCTTTATCTTAGAGTGATTTTATCTTAAAGTGACTTTATTTTATTGAGTGAATAATATATTGTCGTATGTCAGTTTGGAACGACATAAAATTCTGATCTGACATAAATTTCGATCTGACATACAACAATGCCAAATTGACAGGTAATTTATACTGTCAATAATTGAAAATGTTCACATTGTTCGTACATTTACAGTCCACCATATTGCTGAATCGACTTTCAATAATTTTAAATAATTATTATATCAAATAACTAATTTGTGAGCGCGACAACGTTCAACTATCATACATCGCGTGTTCTTTAGCGAAAATTAATATATTCCAAACATTTACATAATGATATGCGTAAATCCTACAGAGTTTCCATACATGATTTTATTAGTATACTCACGTAACAAGAAACACTACTTAGGTTAATAACGAAGCGATAATCAAATATTTGTCGCTTTCTCCCATTACCCGGAATGAAAATCGAAAATTGATACGCCCAGCTTCTTTCTAACTCAATTCGGTGTGCTCTCACTAAAACGCTCGAATCGGCTAATATTACATAATTTTGTAGATTTCTCATCTATTATCATCAATAATAAGTTTACGTTTAATAGAGAGTTCACAAATCAATGTTGGATTGTCAACAAATACTCGTATTACTCAAAACCTGCCTATCCTTATGTGGGAAGAATTTGTCTAAGGATTAGGGTCCTACTGATGTCATGTCCGGAGACTCATTATGGCCATCAATTACCAAAAAAAATTTTGTGGGAATATGAAATGATTATGTAATCATATTTAATATACTATTATTCGGATCGCGCAGGGCGAACTTCCATTGTGGTACAGCATAGCGGCCCGCGACATCCATCATGATATATGCTTTGCCATATGAGCCTGCATATAATCACAATTACTTGTTCGCAATTGATACCTTCTTATTCAATTTCTACTATAAATTAACTATACAATAAAAGGGATAGGTAACTCACTCCCTACCATCGGACAGTCTCTTCTGCCATAGGGATGTCGCACCTTTGTCTAGATTCAATTTCTCACACATCACAGACGAGGGCTCGATATGTTGTACTACCGTACGTTTTGATTTTCAAATGCAAAAACCTGATGCCGGGGTGAGAATGACGATCGCTTGGATTACAGTATTCGACTGATAATTGAAGAGAGTGATGTGACGTCGAGCAAAAACTAGTATGTAAAAAGAGGCATGGATACCGATAATCCCTTTCGAGATACATCTAAGCTAACAAAATATCGAGAGGATGTATGGTCGGCCTGACTGACGGTTCTTGGATGATACACAGTGTCTCTCTGAAGCTGATGCAGTTTTCACAGATAGGATTTGATAAGACGAATTTTTTGATTGATCGAATGCTACTTGTTTATGGTAATTGATTAAAAAAAGTGGGGAGAATGTCAGATTAAAGAAGAAGAATCGTTATATCTGTTGGAATCGCCCGATACTGTGGTCTTCTGATATACTCGAATTGTCTTTGGTGCAAAGGTCTTTTTATTGCCTGTCCACGGATTGGGTATCAACTACTTGATTGTCTCTTCTCAAGATTTTGTGTTCTAATAAATTCTCGTGAGCAGATGTCAGCCTGCCGCGTTGGTTCGGGAATACGATATTTGCAGCATCTTAGTACCAATCTTATCGCAGTGTCAAGGCTGATGCGATGTCCAACAGATACGAATATTGGATTTGTAGTAGTATCCAAACTACGGACGGCCTAATTTGGGAAAGGAGAGAGAGAGAATAACGATTTCTAGGTTATAAGTATGCCAGAAATCTAATATACAACCTACTAAGGATGCCCAAATGCAAATTGTTACACATTGGAGAGACCACTACATTAATTGGGAACTCGAACGCAAAAAAGTCCAGGCGGAAAGCATGATATAGCTTTATAGGTCGGAATAACCATTCTAACCGCCACGCATTACTCACCGCACCATAGACAGTCCCTGACTGTCCTTTCAAATAATAGACATCTCCGCCTTTCTTCAATACATCTTTGGTGACCTTCTTCACATGAGGCATGCTTAGTTCCACTCCATCATCAATCTGCAGAAAGTTTTTCCCTACTCCTATTGTCGGAACATCGGCCAACACACCGAGATGACATGCGAGACCAAATTGACGAGGATGGAGTGTCCCATTGCCATCAACGATAATGAACTGGGGAAATATCGAGGGTTGTTTGGATTGTAGGGATGTTATAAGAGAGAGAAGGGGAGCTACTTCGCGGAAGGCCAGGAAGCCTGCAATGTAGGGGTAGTCGAGTGATACTTTTTGGTAGTCGGTGTATAAGATCTTTTGTTCCGGAGGGCATTGGTGAGCGGGGGGGGGGGGACGTTGGGGGGCGGAAAAGCACTTTCATTTAGTTATCGTGCATAACAGTAGTGACGAGTACGTTAAAACAATAAGAGCACACAGCTGTATTCCAAAACAATCCTGCATGCATGCTATCAATCTCAGCTGTCACAGCCTTTATCTTTTTCTCATTTTGGGAATTAAAAAATAATCCTACCTCCAAGGCTGGATATGTCAAGACCACCAGGGACGCGATTGCATCATTATTGTTGTCTTTGACAAAACTCAAATCAACGCCGCCAATATATCTTAATCCAGTAAACTCATTATCAGTAGAGAAGGAGATATCATCAGTTTCAATCAAACGAGATTTCAGTGTTATTTGTTGCCTATTATTGGATAAAGATAAAAGAGGGGGGTGGGGATGAGAATGAAGTGAATAAAAGATGACTAATAAGTCTTAAAGAGAGACCCTATTGACCGGATCATGTATATCCTGTAGGTTATTGCGTGCTAGCTTATCAGCTGTATTGTCCTCGCTCAACTTACTGCATCCATTCCTCCCGTTGCACATCATCTACGATATCTCCATTGTCGCTTATCTTTTCTTCTTCATGCATCCTGAACAAAGGTTAGCTATTTGATGCTATAAATAATTAATATTAATAGGGATCACTTAATCAAATTAGTGGTTTGTATTAACGGCAAAAATGACTCAAATCGTGACAATTAACAGATAAGGACACGGTTGGGTAGATCATGAGAGGCAATTTTGCCATTGAAAGAAACATCTGCGTAATTAATCGTATTTGGAAGTTGCGGTACGAAATTGACATAGCCCAAACAAACAAAAAAAATTGCGTGCCTGAAACGATGTGTGATGTAATGATAGTATTGTGGTTCCAAGAGCCCCGAAGAATTATATAAGGAATGCACCTTTTGGTTGATTGAGAACAATTTTTTGCAAAAAGTCTTTAAAAGCAGACATGTCAAAACGTATACACAAAAAGATACCGACGAGACTACCAACAAAGCATTCCGCAAGCCCAACAAATTCCAGTAATGAACGAGTTCTCGGTCGGCATGTAAATGGGCAACTGTCATCAATATCTCTTGGATTTGGCCTTTACAATGTGGTTGTCAAACGCCCATTCAAGGTCAAAATCCAGAAAACCGTCCCTGGCGCTGCGCGCGGAAAACGTTCGGGAGACTCTCTTCTCTCTTGATCCGTAAGGGCAGACAAAACTGTAAGCATATGAAATAAGAGTCATATTGTTAATGTAATCTTGTATCGATAAAAATACTGACATTATCTTTTCCGTATACTTTTTTGGCAAACAGACCCGTTTTCTATTTATTTGTTATAAAAGTTGAATTTGGAAGGCTTTCTTCATCTACAGAATTGGTTAGATTCAAATTATTTATTCAATATATCATGTTAAAATTAAAAATATGTATTTTTTATATATAATTTAAAAACTGTTCGTTCCAAATCACACGAAACTATTCTCGTGTTAAATTGAAGATGGTCTTCCAAACTGAACTTTTAGAATAACTCTTATGTACAGTCATTTTAATGACTAATTAAACTTATTGCTATGAACAATATGGCAAATATCCCGCAACGCACTGTCGATCAGGGGTATCAACAACATTAATTTAATATCAAGTCATTAATTCTTTTCCTAAAGTTAAATTGCAACCTACAGTCGTAGTCTCCACACACTAATACGGAAATAAATATGAGCATTCACTTCACAGTGGCTACCAAATCTTTTCACTTTGTTGTTTTATGAGCGGGTGCTGTTTATTATTATCACTACTATTTATCAAATCTTGTTGCACCATTAACATAAAAGGAAATCAATATGATATTACAAAAATATGAGTCAGCCAATCATCCGAAACAATTTACCATGCGTATAATAACTTTTCGTTTCTGTTTTGGAAATGCTAATTCTCTTTAGCATTTAAATCTTTTTGAGGCGGGTTTTTTGTCACATGGCTGAACACGTCTATATTTAAAAAACCGCTTTTCTATGTATTTGGGAAATTGTTCTCGAAATTCGGCCAGTCAAAATAAGCACTTTTATTTCGCTATTGTCACATAAACAATGTTGATTAGCCATCGCTTATTGATTCTGATATTAGATAATGTGCTTATTGCAGGTTTGTGCTACGCGGTTAGCAGAAATAAAGGAAACTTAATTATAGTTTTGTTATTATTATCCCTTTTTCTTACTCTACGAGTTAGCCAATAGAAAAACTTTGGCATCGGGGAACAAACATTGCACACCAGGATATTTTAATTCGGGAAAAGGACTTGGTTAGATATTTTTTCTACACAAGCCACTTCTGTACTTCTTTCGTTCGTCTATTTTGCGGTACGAACCCGATACACCAACGCCTTAAAATTTTTCATTCGAGATTTTAGGTCCGCGTCTTACATGTACCAGGATTTTGTGAAGATAAATACTACCAAGTTACCAACTTTCAAATAGTATGAAAAACCAGAACTTATTTGCCGACCGAATATTGAACAAACATCTAACATTTACTTATACAATTACCGGATATCCTGCTGGACATATCGAATTGCTGTAATTTATACAGTCAGATTTCCATAATATAAGAAACAACCTCTTATGAAGAGCATTTATTGTATAGCAAATCTAAAAACATTAGTAAGATTTTCTTTATATAAGAACCATCTATAAAGGAACAAAACGTAATTTCGTAGAACGCATATATTTACTTTTACTTTATATAAAACAAGTGTCTGCACTGCTCATACATAATCGTTCGAACGAAAGATGTCAAATTGAAATTGACGGAAAATCAGTAACAATATACTAATACTAAGATTTGACATAATAATAAACAAAAACAACTCTACTTTGCTATATGACTAACTAATGTTTGTTTAATGTTTAAATTTGTACACTTAATGAAAACACTCAATAGTTATACTTGTAGCAGCTTTAGAGGTCGACCTTAGTTGTGCCTAATAAAGACACGAAATTGCTAGTTATACTTGGATGAGATTATCTAACCAGAGATTTTACGAAGAAATTATACACCTAAACATTGACACAAGACTGTTCCGAATTTGGGTATCCCATACTTCTGTATGGGCACTGAGAGAGTTGGTCAGATACATTACGCATAACAAATTTGAAATCGACAAAGTATACAAACTATCATATATGGTTAATATTAATGCAAAATTTCAGAGTGGGCGAGCCCAATTGACCAGCATTGCATTAACTTGACGTATCAGAAACATTATTATCAAAAGTATTAGTATTAGTAAATTTTTAGTTAACAAAAAATAATAATTCCAAAAAAATGCATTATGGTAAAAAAATTTAACGTACAAATATGACAGATTGAATAGGGTGTCTGAAAAATTTTGACAATATATTTTATTTCAATGATCTGTGCGTCTATTAATAAAGTGAGAATGTGAGTAAATATAAAGTTCAAGTCTCGATTGATCTAACATAAAAAATTTGATACAATTTGATTTGGTGGTTGTTGATAAAAAACTGTACCAATGTTACTACATCTTTGCTAACCGGAAGACGGCCAAGTATAAAAGCAAGACAATTACATTTACCAAACAAAAAAAACCCGATGTATTCTCAACTGCACAAAAATACCGTACACAGCTTCTAATTTCAGGCAAAACATTGGGTTAACCTTTTATTTTGGCTTAATTTATCCTAAATAATTGCCTGCTTGTTGATTCCAAATATAATATAACTATGCAAATTCAAGGAAGAATAATAGATATTTTTGGTTAATTATTCTTATTATGCTAAAACAGTATGTCATAAACAGTTTAATATAGTAAACAGCACAAAATGTAATAATTAATGCATTATTATTATTTGAAAGCTAAAATTAATTCTGTTATTCAAAAACGGCATTGCAACTAATTTAATAATTATTAAAACGGACTTGGAATAAACGTTGTTTATATTTATTTCTTTTCGTAAAACAGTATAATAAACTAGATACCATTTTTTTCTGTCAAGTTTCTCAAACGTCATCCGTTAGGATGCAAAGACGCTCTGCAAAACGCTCTTGACTGTATCACAAACCCGTCACATCAATAGATTATCTCTGTAAATTTCGTTCACAAACAATATTTTATGACAATTTTCTTGTCAATTGGGTATGTTTATTATTTGTTCAATAAGGAAGAACGTTCATCAAACCCTTTGTTATATAAAATAGACTCTATTGCTGATTATCGACATTATACATTAATCAACTATTACAGTATACAACCAACGCAAACCGTTTAGAGTTCTAATCACTTGTGGGTAGAGATAGCCTTTTTAAACTGAAGGTAGCATATAATGTGCGATCTCATATTGCCATCTTCGGGCATAAATTAATCATACAGCAAGTAAACTCAACGGGTATTTGAAACTTGTGTTGCAAAGTATCATGTTGTCGCGTGGGAATTCTGAAAACACCAAAATGACTTTTGCTTTAAAGTATTCAGTACTCGATTGATGACTCGGGTAACAAAAAAGTCGATATTATAACCCTCAATTCTCGAGTTTGATAAAAATAAATTAATGCAAGTTGAACCAAATATAATTTATTTTCTTAATACAGTAATTCCATTTTTAGTCTACTGAAAAGCAACTTAACATAACAAGACGTTGAAATAATGAATGCCTTAGCTTTATTAGTAGGTATAACAGAATTTGGGAGACTCGCATGTGGAGATAATAAATATAAATTATAAATTGAATTCTAATAATTTGCATTTAATTGAATGTAACATATTTTGAAGCAAGTTTTCTTGTGGGGTAAACACTCGCATCCGATAAAGACGCTATTGAAGCCAACTGACTTTATCGTACAAAATTTTGAGGATGCGTATTATAAATGAAAATTTAATCACAAACTTATATTATAGATTTTATCAAAATAGCCTGTCTCAAATCATAAAGCTAAAGCTTGCCTTTCAGGTTTTTTTCTCTAGCAAAGAAAACCCAGAGACAATTCATAAATGGCTGTTGAACCAAGTATTTTCGCCATGAAATTTTTCAAAAGTGATAGCATTCTATATAAAGGTACTAAAACCATGCGAATATTCGATTCGTTGTTATTATTATGCCGGTTTGGTGGTTTATTGCAATAATGCTTATTATTCAAGACAACAACGCCCCTCAAACATTGCATGTTCATCACGTGAAATAATATTTATAAAAAAGGAAAGTCCCTGGATTTTTGTTTGTGTGCTGGTTTACATTTAATTAAGAGCCTAATCCACAACAATGATAAACATGTCGATTAAATATAGTAAAAAAAGAGGCTTTTGGTACAGAATGTGAAAATCAACTTTTGCATTCACCATAATTGATCACAACGCATGAATTAATAGTACAGTCACACTATTGTCAAGTTTCACCCAAAGCCTTGCCTCTTTGGTACTTCACCTCTTGAACTCTATCCTTCCCATACTTGTCAAAAGTCTATCATTCATCTACATAGCTTTTGCTTTATATTTTCCTCTCTTTCTTTTTTGATACAAGTATATTTCAAAGGCCAAGCGTAAGGGAGATGGAGTTTCACGTTTCGTTTATCTCCTGTTCCCACCACCCAATCCTTTTGCATGTGCTTTCGATTTTCATATGAAAAATCCTATATTCGTCCAAGTCTGATGTAATGAACACATGGATGAATCCGGTAAAATCACGAGAGAAATTTCAAAGGGTGTATAAGAGGAGAGAGTGGAAATCTTTTTATTGCAAGATTCGAAATCTCTGTGTAAAAAGGAATATTACCAACCGAAACAAACTTATACTTTCTACAAGTTAATCAAATAGACATACATACATACACTCAACATGTCTCAAGAATCATTAACCGAGACCAGAGGCTCGACCACTGCGACAAAATTCTCCTTGGCCGACAACAACTCGACCAAATCCGCACTCGATCCCATACGCAAGACTTCGCCGGCTTTAGACAGCGTTGAACAACTTCGCCGGAGCCTTCAAATTGCCCAACGTGCCGAAGCCTTTGCTGCTAACCAGGGAAGAACCATACTCTATTATATGGCCAACCCAACTGAACTTCGTGAACGTCATCAAGTGTGGCACTACTTCTACCTATGCGTCTTAATCATCGCGGCTTTCATAGCTATTTTCATCGGTCCGGTCGTGTTTGGCATGTTGGCCATGTTTGCTGGAATTGGTGCCCCGATTGCACTGTCATTTGTTGGTAGCGGTCTTGGATTACTTTCGGGTATCGCTTTTGGAATACTATTGGCCGTTGTTTGTATCGTTGCGTTGGTCAGAGCTGTTGGTTGGGGTGCCGAGTGGATTTTGAACACATTAATCCACGGTGGAAGTGATTTGTGGGATATCACCAAGACACAACTGAAGTATATCATTTCGTCTGAGGAGTGAAATGCCAAGTGAGACGAAGTTTTAGTAAGGCGATGGAAGGTGCCACTGATTTCTGTTTGTTTGTTTGTTTGTTTGTAGTTTCCTGAACGACTGGGGATCTTATTATGATTATAATTATTATTATTATTACCACGATCATTATTAGTCTTATTTTGTCGACTTATTACAAATAAATGTTGCGCAGGTTTCGTAATGTTAATTAATGACAACAGAGCTGTGATTATAGATACTTGATCTTTTATCGAAATCTCTTCTCTTTTCTATGAGGGATTTTTCGTGATCAACACACGCTGCAAGATAATTGATTGTGCACATCTATTTTGATGATAAAGCATGCATTCTCTTTAGGAAAAAAATTTTTTCTTTGTCCTTTTATTGATCGACCATATATTCCCACCAAAAATTATACCCAGATTGTTCAATATTACATTCAACTTTTACATCTAAAAAAAATAAATGCATATTATACATCAACAGACCTTTTTCTTGTGGGCAGCGAATGAATTGCCCCATATCGATTTTTCCATCAACATTTCAATAAACGTCATCAGCAATCACCATCAGTAATCACCAGTGACCATCATCAGCTCCCTCTCCCCAGGCCAAACGCAGATTCGGTCTTTTTCATCTTATCGCCCTTCTTTGCACCGATCATCTACGAGAATCAACTTTGTATCGTTTCTCCAGAAGATCCTGCGTGCCAGACGACCTTTACGATTTTAACAAAAGGCCGAATATATAGCGTTTGTATCACTGAGCTAGCGATATTATACGTTGTACTAACAGTCGCTGCAACCGGCTTAACCACCAATGAATTTACTAGGATGCTCGTCGTAGATTGAGATTGTTTCTGATGGGGAGGAAAAGAGCCTGTTAAGCGAGAGTGAATTAGAGATAAATTCGAGGGATCGTACGAAGACAGGTCGCCCCCCGTAATTAAAAGTTGTTGGTTTGATCGCCTGGTGGTTCGTCATAATTGAGAATTTGAAAATAAAGTCAGTAAATTTCATAACATGCAAACAATTCGCACACAAAAACAGCATTTTCGTTATACTCTTCCAATCCCAAAGACACGCACAAATCAAGCACAACCTCTCTCAATACATCCAATTCTGCTTTCTGCTCGCTGAGTTGCGTTTCCAGATTTTTGACCTTTTCTTGCATGTCAACTGCAACCGTCAACTCATCTGTGCGAGCATCATCTTTGCGTTGTTCACGTTCCACTGTCTTTGAGAGTACAGTCTCGTCTAGATCTTCTCGCTTATCCGTCTCGCCAAATTTATCTTCCAATCGACGTAAAGTTGCTTCCATTCTTTCGGCAAGATTAAGTTGTCGAATCAACAGAGATTCGTAAGAGTATTGCGATGGTGACTCCGTACGTTGGGATTGGAATAAAGTGTCGTCAGAGGCCTCCGAGTCCTAACGTATAAAAGTAAAATTTATGCGTTGGTATACGTTACATGTGCTCGTTGAATTAAAAGCACGTCACGTTTATATTCCCCCAATTGTTGTAGATTCCCTCCCCGTCCGCTTTTATTCTCACCTTTTTCTTTAATAATTTTTCATAACCCGTCGTGCTACTATTAGCGTTTCTAATTACGAATTCTCTATCTACTGGTGATTCCGCAAACGCCTCGGTAAATTTGAGGATCGGTATAGCATTAAGGGAAGTCGTTAGCGGTTGGGGTGTCGGCGTCGTTGGTGGCGGCGGGGGTAAGGATGGCGAGAGTGGAGGTGATAATAAGTTGGGATGGTCTACATTCGAAGAATCGAATTCTTTTTGATTTTGGCCTTTATTTTCTATGTTGTTTTCTCTATCTTTATTTTCGTCTTGGGTTTCTCCTTTACCCTGATCTTTGTCAGCAGCGAAATCATTATCTTGATCGTTTTCTCCAACATCCGCTTCCGCAAGTGACGTAGCCGGGGTATTTACCTCGCTATCACCCAATTCATTCTTGTAACTGTTGCCCTTGACTGCATTCTCGACGTTTTTATAAATTCTTTGTCCTTGACTCAAAGACCTTTTTAGAATACTTTTTGGTCTCTCGGTAGCCGGCGAAGTAGGGGCCGAAATAATCGAGAGACTATTGGTAAGAAAAGACGGGATTCCGATAGAAGTGGAAGTTTCACCGGGAATTCCTCGCGTCGAACTTTTAGACGTGAACAAGTCCAGGTTCAATGATAATCTGTTCTTTGCACGATTATTGCGTGTTCGATCCTCATCCTTATACGACTCTGACATTAGACTGCGTCGTTTAGACTTTGAATCCGAAAATGGGCTCGAGGAATTCTGGTCAAAGTCGTTGTCGTCGTTGTCGTCGTCGTCGTCGTCGTTGTTGTTGTTGAACAAAGACGGTTTGCCCAAGCTTAGACTCCGACTCCGATAGTGCTTGCTTACATCGGGTTCGATCTCGGACTCGGATGAACTTTGAAATATTTCCAGAAAACTACGACGCTTGATTCTTTTCTCGGCGGTTTGGCTCTTGGTTAGTCTACGTGTATCGGATGATCGGTTAAGCTTCTCGGATGAGTCCTTTTTCTTTTCGCCTTTGGAGTTGCTTTTGAAGAAGCTGAAACTTCGACGTTTCGCCTTTTTCGATTGCGAGGCATTGGTCTCTGTTGGGGATATAGTCATGGTCTGAGGAGTGCGGGCACTGTAACGGATGCGCTTAGTCGGGTCCTTGCTGCTCGATGTTGACGAGGATGTTTTGCGGTCAGTCGAGGTCGATGAGAATGAGTGGTTGTCGGTATCAGTTTTCGGTAACGTAGTTTCGAGTGTGAGAACATTTGCTGGCGAAGATGGTTGTTCAATTTCCACGGCTGCCATTACGGATTGGGAAAATTCACTAGCGCGAGAGAGAAAGAGATCAAATAGAGAAACGAAAGAGGAGGGAGGAAGGGGGTGTGTGTATGTATGTGCGATAGGGGTTATGTATATGCTTTCCCCCGTTAATTTGTGACCCAGCTTCTCAGGGTATTGCTTATATAATTCCCTTTATAAAGTTACATAACATTTATAACAGTGGAAAGATAATATGCATATTTATTTGTATTATATATAATTCAATGTTATTTAAGCAGTTAACTTTATTTACATTGATGAAACACGCTACAGCCACCTGTCATACATTAGAATACACACAAACGTGGACATATATATATTGTATAGCTTTCTATGGAGCAGTTAAAAAGAAGATTATCCTTCAAATTCAGGCTGACAATCGTTAATCATTGGTAGCGAAAAAACACTTAAAAATAATTAGATTAAGCAACAAGCTTTTCTTTATTTGTCACAAGGAAACAAAATGATCTCCTGGCGAATAATCTCTTCTTTTCTCCCTTCCATTTATATGTATAATGCTCTGTCATAAACAATAAAGTTAATATTAAGAGGCATAGGTAATAAATACCCACGCGGCGATAAGCTCGATAACGACACACAGAGCATTAGGCATTTGAAGCGACATTCAACGGCTTTCTCGTGACACTGCATATCGATATATTATTTGTTAAGATGATTGCTTGTGATAATGCCGATTACTTACTTATCTAGCCGCGATTATTAATCGATATTGTAGGAATCCTGTATACGAAAAGGGAAATAATCATGGCGAATAACGAGGTCACAAAGTCATCTGATCGGTCGGTCATATTCCCACATTTAACATTATAATAAGCAAAAAAAAATAATGTATCAAGGAGTACGGAATGTATGCAGACTTTTATCACCATTATCGTCATCATGTCAAAGCGCAGGGTTAGTCTGTCTACTTGACAGATAACATCTCGATAAGAAAATATGCTAACCAAAAAGAAATGGAGGAGCCGGTCCTTATAACATAAACGTTGACTGATAACCAATTCGCATGACTAGTTAATTCGTATCGAGAATCGCAACAGAAAGTATTGTTTATAGCCACTGATCTGTGATTAAATGAGCATGTGCGTAATAACGTCATGGCGCATATGATGGTCTCTAACAGAGAATGTCTTGCGCACGATCACATCTGAATAGATGTTTTGCTGATCCAAAAAACGCAAGTGAAGTGTCATTTTTTTTTCGTACATGACGCTTTGGCTTTTCACATCATGATTAAAAAAAACCTGTTTTCTTTTTTATTATTACATCAATTATGTGTATTATAGCCTATATCAATGTCCTTTTTCACACACACAAAGACCATAACTCATTCTATTTACAAACCATGCTGTGACGATTTCTAGTCTCATTCAATGCCATAGTTCAACCCCACCCCACCCCACCCCACCCCACCCCACCCCACCCCACCCCAATTCCATCTCATCTCTTTTTAATCACATGATATTGCAAGAAAAGTCCCTCTTTTCCTTATATTTATCATACGTTATTAAATAAAATTTTCTTGAGCCGAATGGTATGGAGAAGAGGATGACCGAGATGATGACGCGCTGTTATTGTCTGAACCGGTGTCAGAAAGTTGGATTGTCATTTTATTGAACGAAGAGGAAGACGAAGAAGAAGCGCAAGATGGAGGGGGAGGTGGTTGTGAAAGAGATTTTTTTGTGAAACCAGGATTTGGCATACAGTAACTTGCGTCTTTTCCCTTTGTCGCGTCATCCTCACAATCATCGCCACCATTGTCATCGTTGCCAGCAGTCATATTGTTCTCTTCAGTCTTTTTCCTTTCAATCATCTTATTAACAATTTCTTGGTTTTTCCTTAACCTTTCCTCCCACGCAACCATATCTGACCGCCTGTTGAGCATTTGCTTTGCAAGATCCCATGTCTCGTTCAACCTTTTCTCCTTATTAGACAGGAACTTTTCGACGTTTTGTAATGCCTCCAAAGCTGCAGCTAATTCATTGGATAGCGAATCGATACTTTTTGACTGCGATAAGGCGGGCTTATCACCTGACTGACATATTATAGAAATCTTATCTTTTGACTTGCCCTTTCCAGAAACAGATCTAAGAAGGTCTTCGATTTTCTTTTGCTTTTTGTTCAATGTCTCTTCACGCGCACGAAAGTCTGATCGTTTTTTGTATTAAACCGTTGACGGCATTGTGGACAATATCCAGGTCTTGCTGATGACGCTGCCGGTCTGTCGGGTCATCCTCTTGATCTGTGGCTGTACTTTTTGCTTGGATATGGGCAACTAGATCACTCAGTGTTCGCGCATTCCCAGTATCAGCTTCATTCTGTGAAGCTTCTGCGGAACCTGAATATCCATCCGACGGTATGCCGTCTGGTGAGGCATCATCATCCGCTTCGGACTTTGCGTCGGGAGCCGGGAACGTTTGAGGAAGAGAAGCGAGCCAATCTTGGACCTTATCATGAAGCGGAAAAGGTGATTGGCGTTGAGCACGCAGATTTGCAAAGACAGATTGCTGGGAAGACACAGAATTGCTCTTGACTATTGACGGAGTTGCTCGTAAGCAAGATGGCTTTACGTGGTGTGATAGGGTAGGTTTAGCCAATGATGTTGACTCAGGGAGCGGCGATGGGGATTTTGGCAACGATGTAAGTGAATTATGGGCATGTGATGAAAATTTTGCCATCGGTGCTAGTGAATTATGGGGATATGATAAAGATTTTGGCAGCAACGCTAATGGATTATGCGGTTGTGATATTGACGGTGGTGACTTGGTCGTTATCGGTAAACCCAACGGCGTGCTCTTGGACGAGGAGGAATTTGATGATATCATTGCCAGCGATGGCACCGTCCGGGGATACGTCGATAAAAACATTTCTTTACGCGCATATTCGGTTGTCGGAGTACACATGTTGTTTTCGATAAACGGACTTTCGGGATCCTCTATGGGAAACAGCGGTTTCTTCGTGTATTCAATTGTCTTGTGTTCTCCGCTTCCCACCCTGATTCTCCCAACGTGTGGTGCTCCGTCATATTTTCTCAATCTCTCACGAATAATTCTCTGTGATTTGACCAATTGTCTAATTGTCTCGAACGACGCAATGTTATGATTCTCGTATTCTCCTCTTCTTTCAGTCTCCATGTGAGAAGAACTAGATCGGGTAATGTATGAGAGAGCACAAATTTAGAGGAATAACTTCTTCGGTTTCCTTGTAATACTGTACATTTAACGGCAAGGCGATGTTTACAACTCGCCTTAGACCACGCGAGCCGATAAATTGACTTATCATGTGATCAAACGATCTTGTGTGATTGGTTACAGTTTATAGGATTGAAGCGCATCTTTATACTTGTCGGAATATCAGATATTCAAATGCGGGACGAAAGTAAAATTCCTTTGATTCGTTTGTCTTCCAAATATCTCTTAGTATATCAATTCAGCCACAAAACCGGTGATGGGATACAGATGACTTCCTAGTTTGTCCTGTGAAGACTTGAAGAATATTAAATATTCTGTAATAGTGGTTTCGGCTTGATAAAGGAATTGGCAAGTTTACATTCCACCAGTCGGCCTTTTTTATATTTTCAGTAGAGAGGCTATTTATGGGGTATCAATATTGAGTTTGCAAAGGGAGGCTTTAATCCACATTTCCCTGACAAAATTTCCCAGCATTATTTCGAAAGCCATCCATTTTCGGCAGTTGATTGTCAATGAAACGAGTTTTTATTCGGTTTATACACATTATAATTAGGAATGGTTTAATTCAATATAAATTGTCTGCTCGATGGATCAACTATTCATAACTTTCGTACCGTTAAGTTCGTGACTTGCAGCTACGAAATTGACAAAAAGTATTGTGCTAAACTTTCGAAATGTCATAAGTCATACTGTAAGTGGAGAATGATGGTGAAATTACACGTACAGCAAAGCTAACTAAGGAAAATTGTTAGGCCTCACGGTAATCTAAACTATCGGCACTTGAGAAATCACAAATGCATCGAGTTTAGAGCAAGCCTAAACGCGTCAAATTCAGCACTTGCCTTGTATATTTCTGGTACCGTCGATGATCTTTGCGTAAACTAAGTTACAAACTTCGAAAGTTTAGATTTTGTTATTTTTGGAAGAACAAACCATTCTTATTGCCAACTTTACGAGTAATGGGGCCTCTATTTAACTTCAAAAGTTATCTCAAAGTTGTTATTCTGTCTGTAGACGTTGTCACCCACTCACCACGTTGAGATGTAGCACGTTGAGTATACCAACTAGTATAGTAGAATACAGCGACCTTATTGCGAATAGAGACTGTTGGGTTTTGACCATTGTCATAATGGGTTTGGCTTCAACGTAAGGCGTCGCTGAGAAAAGTAGGTTTGTCGCAAAAAAAATTTTTTTTTTTCGAATATAAGCCTTTTTTTTGTTCACTTAAACCAACGACATGTTTTGGTGTTGCGGAAACGGTGTTATGCTTGAAATATTTCCTCACACGTCTCTACTTGAGCGTCATAAAAGTGATATTAAATTAAAATAGTAAAATGCTAATTGACAAATTTATATTATTTGTGCTATGTTAATAATTTATACCACTAGCAAATAACGATACGATATATTAATATGAGTGAAATATAGTACGTAGCTAGAAGTTGATTTTTCTTTCTTGACCTCTTGAAATAGGGGTCAAGAAAGTAAATCGTCAACGTTCAGCGATTGTGTGGGTTGAAAAAACTTGATTTATACTATAGACAAATATCAGTAGTGTATCCGCTCAGTCGTCTTTGCAAATTAGTTATTTCATCAAGCCATAACAAATCCAAAAACGTTTTTATTTACGAGTTGTTGATAATTGAATGGGTTTTATATTTAAGAATTTATGCCACACTAAAAAAACAATGGAAGAATTTGTCATTGAATATGATGCTGTTGCAGAACATGACTACTTATATATTATACTCACTGCTTACAGACCTAGAATGTGTGTGATATAATAATAAATACTGATTAATAGAGCCATTTACATTATGAAACGGTCTAAATAATCTAACAGTAAAAGTTTGTTAATAAAGACTGTTAAGTTGTGACATGCATTCTGAGATCAGACAGCCATTTCTCCAAAATAAGGTAATTTGAATAAATCATAATTTTAATGATAAGAATTTATTTGTTAATAATAATACTGTATTACATTACTCTGCCTGCTAATGGTAATAGTAATAGGTAATAAGCATCCTTCTAACTTGTGGTATCATCACAAATTCTATTTCAATTCAACCTATAATTATATATACAATGGATCGATTATTCCCTACTGAATAATGTACAAGAAATGATCACATTACACCATGGATGCACACTAATAGCAGATTGGCTAGAACTGACTACAAATAATTGGACAAAAGTGTCACTCAGAAAGATAGTTGACAGACAGAATGGACAGTCATTTGATTTTCATCAGGTAAATCAATTTATGTGCAAATAATAATAATGCAAATAGTATATATTAAGCATGATTACATCTTAAACTGATGATTGTATTATTTACTCAAATAGCTGGTAAAGGAATACCCAAAGATATTAACCCCTGAGAATATGTTGATAATTGGAATCACTCAAGAACCATCTACTAAGGAGTATTATTTGGTTTTCTATCATGAAATACATCCAGTATTGGACAAAATTATAAAACGTTATGCATGTGTACATATAAAGTATATGGAATATGCAGACTTTGGTGAGATTAAGGAGATTGGATCTGGTAGTTACAGAACAGTCTATTCTGCCAAGCATTTAAGAGAAGACTTTCCTGTACTAGCACTAAAACGTTTTAAAAATTTTAATCAAACACTGGAATTATTTATTTCTGAGGTAGGTCTTTTTAATATACCAACTGACTATTACCATAACATAAACATGATATTTTATCTGACTCTGTATTTACTTAATAGTTCCAATATCATGCTAGATGTAGTTATGATGATTTCCTTCCAATTTATGGAGTCACACAAGAACCAGAAACAGAAGACTACATGATTGTTATGCACTATGCTAATAATGGTAGTCTTTTATCTTATTTGGATCAGAATATTAACAAGCTGACATGGAAGATGAAATTGGACCATTTGATGGTCATTGCATATAATCTAAAACATCTTCATGATGAGGAATTAGTGCATTGCAATCTTCATGGTGGAAAAATTGTTCTGCATGATGATACTCCATTTATTTGTGATCTTGGTCACTCACAAAAAATGACATTGAATTTACATGTGTCAACCATTCAAAGTGTTTTATTCTTTGTTGCACCAGAAGTCTTCCATACCCACAAATTTACTCAAAAATCAGATGTCTATTCTCTTGGTATCATTATGTACTTGATTGCTACTGGTGAACTACCTTTTAGAGATAGGCAGCTTACTGGAGATTTAATATCTGATATTATGAGTGGACTACGACCATTGATGCCTGATTCTGCACCAGAGGAATACAAGAAACTTGCTGAGTGGTGTTGTGATGCTGATCCTGAT